GGTTCAAAATACGTGCAATTGCATGAGAAAATGAGGCAATATTGGTTTCATACGTGCTTTTGTTCTTAGAGGCAAGTTCGGACAAGGTATTCTTGATATCAGAAACTCGTTCGTAGGATTTCTGACGTGGTTATGCATATGTACATTTACCCCGTGGGGGATTCGAATTACAGGTTGGTGCAGCACATCAAAAACTACGACATGTTATACAAAGGAAAGTTGTAAGAGCTAGTTGGAATATTCGACAATCACAGAGCCTGGGCGGCCGAAGTTCATTCCTGTTCTGTCATCTTGAAGTTGGGAAACAGGTGTTAATGAATCTCATCTCGCGGCCTGCGACGATATTTTAATAATCTCTATTGAATTAAAATGTTCGCAATTGGATGAAATCAACGTTTTAAAATTTTCCGCAACGGTCAATGATCCTGTAGTTGAATAGATTATAATTTGAAATATTTCATTTTAAACCTTTTATTTAATCTGCAATTTATTACTAAAGCAAGTTTCGGAATATAGTAAAATGACTTTTAGCTGATTCTTTAAAACCAATTCTAGCGACCAAGGGTTTAAAGATGCATTTAGTGTTAATAGTTATTAACTTTAATGTAAATTACTCAATTGTTTTACAAATATGTCTAAAGTGACTATTTTTTGGACATATTAATTATTAAATACAACATGCCTTTCACAGCCATGCTCGGTCTTCTACGATTATTATTTTTATAACATTGCTCAGTTTTCCATTTACCGCCATCTTCAGTTTGAAATACATGATCGCTGAAAGCAATATGAAACAACTAAACATGCATAGTGTGGATAAACATTGCCTTCTTGCTTGGTATAAAGTTTCCAAACGGTTATACCCGTCACTATAAAAGTAGTCACCTGTTCATAAAGGTAACTTTTGGTGTTTCTCTGGCGTGACCGTTATGTACAGGGTCGACTGTAATTTCCATAATGGAGCAGGTATGTGTAAATATTAAGAAGCATTGTGGGTTTTGCGGTAAAAGCATCAAAATGAGCGTATATTATGCTAAGGGTATAATATACTAAATGAGATTGATCTAATACTTCAAAATATAGTGCCAAGCTGAATTTTTTAAAACATTGAACATGATTAAATTTTTAATGAAAATATAACTGAGGGAGCGAATTCAGTTTGCGCGCATGGAATGTCCAGCGTGCACATCACACATCCAGGGTACGCTTACACTGCGGACAGTTTCGCGCGCTCGTCCAAACACGCTTGACCTTGACCCAGTGCAAATTGGGTAACTAGCTTGCGAACTACGATAAATAAGCCGTGATAACCCGAACCGCGTCGATGCACGCAGTGTTAAGGCTTCTGTAGGTTCAATTACACCGTGAAACAAAGTTTATCTAATAGAGGATTTTGGAAATTAGAAGATTTACTCAATTATCACACCTCAGTTGGTAGTTTATTCATTAATCTGCCCCCTCTCATCATAGCAATATTAAATCATTTATGGCACAAGTACATGAGACATAACTATCCACACTCGCATGTTGAGATTAATTCAGTCGACAGGAAAGAGTAAAATATTATTGACAGGCTACCTATACTAAGAGCATCCAAATATAGTACCAGACAACTCGTTTCCGTCACTTACGCTAACTATGAAGTGCTATTTATCAAAGATAGTAAACGCGGTATTATTTGATGTCCTACTTATTCACACGATTCGCACATTCTCTAAAATATATTAGCAGATACTCTAGGTATACATATGAGACAGGTCCAACGTGCGAGTAAGTTGTTGTTTGATGTATGGCAGCACTACGAGCGACCCTAGCCCATCCCCTCATAGACTTAGGTCTACGCATGGCAACAAAGTTCACAAAAAACCGTGAATAATCCCATGATCCGAAAGGAAAAAAAAACGAAGCAAAGGAAACTCCCAAACTCCTGATACAGAGATAGCAGAGGGACTAGTTACTAGATAGTCGCACGAGTAAAGGGTAGGTGGGTGTCGTGGGTGGTTTAAATTAATTGGCCATACGCGAATGAGTTTCATTCCAAAGAGTTTTTCTTAAATCTCTGCGACGAGCAGCGGTGATACTTATATATAGAGAAAAATAGACACCTTAATATCTCGATTGGGCAAAGTCACGCATGGAGCCCTTTACCACGCTGGTGGCAGGCAGTGGATCCATCTGCCTATAAAAGAGCAACCGGCCTGCTGGAAGCATCAATCTTCGTTTAGTCATCTGAGAAATTTTGTGTTCCGACAACGTATCAGACACGATGGAAATAAAAACGTTCCCAGTGCCGGAGCCTTTTTGTTGGGACGAGAGTTTCTCCGTCGGCGTAAGTACAAAACTTTAATAACCACCCATCGACCGTCTGAGTAATAGTCAATGTCAAGTAGGCTACCGCTAGTTTTGGTTCTTGAAATGAATACTTGATTGCTGCAGATTATAATTAATTTCCCTATATCTGTACATATTTAGACGTTCTGCCTGTATCGCTAAGTATAGCGAAAGCAATTTTGAAAACGTTCCCCGATAATAAATCATAATAAAATAACGATCAAGGTATAAATAATTAATCATAATAAATGTTAAACAAAACCATCACGCCGTGCGTGTAACAGTTCATATAGTGCGCATATATCACCGTTACATATATTGGAGCCATTACATTATTATTTTTATTATTATTATTACCATTGTTTCTATTTAATAGTTCAACGAAAATGTCTATTGCAATGACTGACGCTAAACAACACTGTTGGTATCAAACCGATTGACAACTGTAATAATTAAATAGTGAAATAACTACTATAACGACCATATGACTATAATTCCTATACGACTATTATAACAGCTATTACTGAGATAACAGATACAACTTTTAGAACTACTATAGCTGTTACAGTTGCTATGACTACTATTACTGTCTATCACACGCTCCACCATTCTCACCACAGAGATCACGTGACTATCGGCTCATCATTAGATTGCGCCGGCACAACAAACAAGAGAGCAATTTTCATCTCTGTGATGAGATTGACGCTCCACTACGCTAGAACTACTTCTGCAATATTATAGAAGAATTTTTCCTAATGGATTCTTTGATATCTCATAATCATCAATCAATCATATCACATGAATAACGTACAACAGATAATCACACGTGTAACTATCTCGTTACTTGGGTTTTTGCTTCTAGTACAAGGAGCTTGACGAGGAGCACCAGGGTCTATTTAAGATCGTCTCCGAGATCAATAATAACCGCAACTCTGCGAGTCTTCTGAAGAAATGCAAAGAGTTGGCGATTTCCCACTTCCTCTGCGAGGAGGTAGGTGCATATCAACATAGTTGAAGTTAAGTATCCAGGGCAGTAGCTTAACTGAATTTCTATGGTGTGTGGTTCTGTGGGGGGCAAAATTTATAGTAACTCGATTGAGAAATATAACGAGCAAGATGCGAAGCACTCACTCAAAAAAGTATAAATTATTAGTCTTTTATTGTATATTCCAGTAGATTCTAATGGAGGGGCAGCCTCCCCTTTGCCCCCCCCTCAAGCTACGCTTCTCTGATACCATATATAGGCACGTAATGTTAAAAAATTCGTTTAAAATGATCCATAACATAATCGGCTACAATAGTCCCTATCGCGTGTATAGTCCCTATCGTACAATAGTCCCATACGATCAGCATGTCCTACTAAAGTTACGGCATCAATCCGCATCAGGTTCGTGCAAAAAGTATGTAACGTAATCACGCAGTATAAAACTCATAAAGTATAAAGTATAAAACTTATATATCACGTAAAGACCTAGACCTATTCGTGCAGCCATTCGATCCGCCACTGGGCTGGTAAAGGTCAATGTCGTGTTCAATAATCGTACGTAGTAGAGCACGCACGCACGCCGCATGCACACACGCGCACGCATACATACAAACACACAGACAAACACGCACACACACACACACGCACGCACGCACGCACGCACGCACGCACACACACACGCACACACACGTATACACACCCCGTCATCAGTGTATCGGTTTACGAACCGGTTATATTACTTATTAAATTATAGAAGCGCCAGCAGAAAGCTAACTTCGCAGGCTACGACCTGGAGAAAAAAGTGCACGACGAATTCCTTGAAGTTCTCGGCAAAGTCTCCTGTCCGGTCACCGACGAGGTGGTAAACTTCGCCAAGGACTGGTACGTTACGCAGATCTCTTACGTATGCAGGAACGCTGAGTTCCTTTCGTAGCCTCGCTTCTCTTATGGTCATTCAGTCTAGTATCTAGGTGATTTATGACGTAACGTTGTCAGTATAAATACCGGTAATTTTAAGGTAAATTAGCACATGTGTTATCGCATCACATATCATTTTACGAGCGCTCTCGAATCGGTTCAAAATACGTGCAATTGCATGAGAAAATGAGGCAATATTGGTTTCATACGTGCTCTTGTTCTTAGAGGCAAGTCCGGACAAGGTATTCTTGATATCAAAAACTTGTTCGTAGGATTTCTGACGTGGTTATGCATATGTACATTTACCCCGTGGGGATTCGAATTACAGGTTGGTGCAGCACATCAAAAACTACGACATGTTATACAAAGGAAAGTTGTAAGAGCTAGTTGGAATATTCGACAATTACAGAGCCTGGGCGGCCGAAGTTCATTCCTATTCTGTCATCTTGAAGTTGGGAAACAGGTGTTAATGAATCTTATCTCGCGCCTGCGACGATATTTTAATAATCTCTATTGAATTAAAATGTTCGCAATTGGATGAAATTAACGTTTTCAATTTATCCGCAACGGTCAATGATCGAGATTATAATTGGCAATCTTTCGTTTTAAACCTTTCATTTAATCTGCAATTTATCACTAAAGCACGTTTCGGAATATAGTAAAATGACTTTTAGCTGATTCTTTAAAACCAATTCTAGCGACCAAGGGTTTAAAGATGTATTTTATAAACTATAATAATTTCCTAACATATTCAGTATTGATAGATACGAGACTCGCATCATGTTATAGTACCACAGCCTTCTATTTTGTGTCAAATTAAAAACAAATAATTTGATTACGCAATTAATTTGTCAATGTAGTTTTCTTTAATTTCGTTTCACATCTACAATACCAGCATTATAATGTCATAGCAAAAGACAATGTCAGTACAGGCAATACAATAATTATCTAAGCAAGTTAAATGTTTAAATTCCTTTAGCAAGTATGGGAAAAGTTTCGATAGAAATGAAAACTTCGATCTTTACGCAAGAGTAATCATTTGCATTCGATAAAACGTTAGAAGACTTTAACGAATCCTTCAGACATTAATGAATATCGCTGCTTCATTCAGCAATTCACCAACGCAACATATGTCGACGTACACCAGAATAGGCTCCTAGTATAGCCGGTTGCAAGTATACCACTGAGCTGTATATAATAACAGCTTATAATATACAGCTGAGTGAAGGAAGTCTACTCGGTGTAAATTTCTATATAAATAGAAATAAATACGACACCCGACGTACTGACAATGAGCGTTCATTATACCCGAAAAAATTGCCAGATGAAATAAATACGTCTGATGGTAGAATAGTTTTTCGCACTACCAACCATATATACAACCAACCAAAATATACACACATTTCACACCTGACCACCCGGTCGACAATCGTCTGCAACATATCCGGTTTTCAAATACACAGTAATATAGAATTGAGCTCGTAGCGCCATCGCGCGGTCAACACAGACACGTGAATTGACCAGTTTACATGGGCAATGAAGTTGAAAATCGACGTTGAATTTAAATTTAAATTGAAGTTGAAATTCAGCGTTTGCGTATGTTCATTGTGCGTATATATGAGCAATCTATCACTCGGTATTGGGGCCTGCAGGTTAGCAGACGCACTATACTTTTAGCGTAGGTTCATATATTGCATAGCATAGCATGTCAGATTATTTCCTGTTTATTTATTTATTATTATATTATTTCGCATGTCCTTATATTTTTTATTGAATTTTCTTTCACATGCGTTAGGTCTTAGTATCTCGTTATAGAACGTAAAGCTTTAGTAGTTTTTGCTTTAGTAGCTTTAGTAAAAAGCTTTTAGCAGAGTGAAATTATAACAGCTCCATTATAACTTTTACGGTTGTCGCTCATTTATAAGTTGAATTGGAAAGAAAACATTACTAGCCATTACATCAAATAATAACAATTTCAAACTTAGTAATTTGTTATGCAAATAACATATTATTAATAAATTTCCATATCATTCTTATTTAAAAATGTCTTAAGATGCAATTTTGCGAATAGGTGTCTATGTTTACAGTTGTTTACAATTTATGTGTAAAGTATGAATATTTATTTTGCGAGATTATTTATTAATGCACACGTTTTTACTGGTATATAGTGATATCACGCTCATTCATGTATATAAAGCAAGGAAAGGTAAATAAGGAAATTAACTAGAAAAAATAAACAAATACGTAACATTGGTTTGCACGTAAATGGTTTTTAATGTTTTTGATGATTTCGGCAATACAAAATGTGAAAGAATTTCCGGAAAGATAGCACATACTAGTGCAGGATAACGCCTATTTACACCAGGAAATTAAGGCATATCTTAGTATTTACACGTTCGAGAACGTGAACAGATATACCACTGAATTTTAATTTTTACATTATGAGTATGGCACTGCCAGATGCGAATGTTCTGAAATCGTTAAAGGCTGATGGACAGTACTACACAATCGCGAGTTACTCTTTACAGCTTGCCTCTGTATGGGAAGTCAACGGTCTTGATGTGCTGCACCAACCTGCAACGATAAATAAATGGGAGTTAATAAAATTCAAAAAGTATTCTAAGCCGACAATTAAAAACCAATTAACTCTCGTTATATCGACGGAAAGAACGTGTCACAAAACGCGTTTCCTTTACCACTCGTGAACGCCACGTGCTAGAGTTAAAACGAACTCTGACGAAATACACGCTGTATTATCCCTGAGCATTATATAAAGAGAGCGAGAAAATCTTCAGTGAAACGCACCAGTCCTTGGCGTAGTCGACGTCGGATGCGTTGACCGGGCATTCCAACTTGCCGAGAGTAGTCAGGAAGCCATCGTGAGCAGCCTTGTGGTGGGCGTACTCTGGGTAGCTAGCCTTCAGCATCATCGACTGCAACACGACAAAGCCACTAGTTTAACGACGTGGCAAACGAATACAGGAATGAAAACGAGTTTTTTGAATGCGCAATAAAATAACCGATTCAACGAGTCGTAGATATTTACATAGGTATTCTGATTAGTGCGCAGAGTAAAAAGTTTTTTTGGGGAAACGCGCTGCCTAATTGAACGCTTTAATACTTATTACAGTCAAATTGCGGGTACGCATGATAGGAAAATTAAACGAACCTGTTCGTAGGCGAAGTGGGCAGCCATCAGCTCATTGCACTTCCTCAGAGTCTCAACGCTGCCAGGGTACACGCCAACATCGAAAAGACCCTGGAAAAGTCCCTTGTGCTCGTTGTCGATCTGGTCGTACTAAAAACAGGTAAACTCTGACCATTACAGATAGGTTCGCGATGAAGAAGCAGGAATCCAAAAATGGTTCTAATAATTAAATTAAATTAATCAAATTCTAAACAGTTTCTGAAGCAAAAGCTAGTTATAGCCTAGCGTTTTAATTAATAAGTAATTAATAAATGTTTTTGATTAATAATTATGCAAACACATGTAGCTCGGCCAGCAATACACGTACGACAATCTACACGAATATAGTGCAGATTAACGAGATCGATTCCGCAAGTACTTACGAAAGTCATGAAGCTCTTGTCCCAGCAATACGGCTCAGGTACTGTGTAAGGCATGGTGATGGTTGTTTCCACTGTGCTGACTGAACACGAGATGAATCTTGTACCAATGCAAGGCTGACGATGATGACGCCGCGGGCGGGTCTCTTATAGGTAGACTGGACCGAAGAATCGCGTCCTCGCTCCGGGTGTTATCCAAGTCGTGTGCCCGAGTAGAAGACGCCACATTTCTTGACCTACCTGCTTCCTTGCCCAGGTAAACATTATTCTGCTGTCTATCGTGATTAAAAATGTCGAGCGCGTGTAAAAACACGTTATGATTGTTAATATACCGACAATAATGGATATTGTGTATATAGCAAGACCCCCGTTTGCCATTTCGTGAACCCGTTGGTCACCCATAGCAGGATGCAAGCGGCCTACGTGCGTGAACTCAGGTCTTCTCATGTCGAAAACAGGAAGACAGCAAAGTTTTTTTAGTTTTACTTTAATCTAGTCTGTATTTTTATCGCCGCCACAAAAACTGTTGGCTCGATCGCTATTAAATTTGACCCTTGATTTTAACAAGTAGCGTGACCCCATTCGCCTCGTAGTATTAATCTCTCACTGTAAATCATTAAAAAAAAATAACGTCAGCGGTGTGCATATGTTGCATGAAGGATTTTTGAGGTGATGTACAATACACACTTTGGTTATAGGTGGATATAGTGAGACATGACAGAAATTGTGCACTTTGTAGGCGTGAATAGAAAGCGTATTATAACATATCAGGAGCTCGTCTTAACAAATAAAAGATTGTAAGTCAGATATGTTAACACCGTAACAGGTCGTGGCGGTCCGCCATAAAGAGCTGCTAAACGCTAAAGCCTTTCAGTTATACTCACACCAATCGTCAACAAAACGTCTGTTTTACGAACGGCTTTATGGCCTAACGATATATGATTACTGTATGCTACATCAACTCCGAAGAAAGCTTCTCTATAGTCTCTATATAATTCTAAGTTAGCTGCCACATCCATACTTATTACAACAAAGTTTAATTGAAACTATTAAATAAAAAAAGCAACTGTAAACAACCAATTGAAAACAAAACTCGCCTTTCTTTTATTACGTCATTATCTTGATTAACGTGAATTCACATGTCTAATATACGTTTACATGCTATATATATATATATATATATATATATATATATTCGCATATAGAGCCCGCGCTGTGAAATGTACCGATATAATCGACCAGAAACGTCTGCTAAATGGTGTAATAGAAGTGCAGTGAACAAGTTAGAATCCCAGCATCATGATAAATTTTTTTTTTAACTCGCGCTCTCTTTCTGTGTTCGATATGAGCTGGCATGAGTTCGCACACGTTGGCTGATGCGTATCCATCTAATTCCTTCGCTTTTCCGTTATGCTTGTTAAGCGAGATGTCAACTTTGGATTTTCCACGAAAGTTACATTTATGTCATCTTTATCCTTATTAACACAATGTATTTCTTATAGTATTCCTGACGATTTCTATAATCGCTAGCACATAATCTCTACACGATAGGAGAAAGTGTTAAAAGTGTAAAATGTTACATGTCATAACACCGTAGTATATATACCGTAGGATGGATACTTTGAAGCCCCGGAAAACACACGATTTCCTTCGGATAAAATGACACATGAATTAATTAACATGCATTCGTATTGAGTCGAGCACAGGCAGTGCCACAGTAGAAACTATATAGTCTATTTCTCATAAGCTTATGAAATTGTTGAATCAAAGATATATAACCCTAATGATCACCTTCTTTACATATTGTTTTCTTCACACCTCTTTAATATCCCTCTAATTTCACCCCCTTTTTATTGTTGGCGCCAATGTGTATATATTTTATATCTATTAGTTAGTTACGTTATTGCAATTGAATATATTACAGCTGGGTGTAATAAATCATTGGTAACAGTTAGTTACCCTAACGCATAGTTCACAGAGAACACAACATATGACCGACGTAAAATAGCTCATGATAAAAACGTGATAATCTTCACTCGTGACAAAAAAACTTGCCCCCAAAACGCTGTCTTGCCAGGTTCGAGAGGAGGACGCCTGACCTTACTCACGTAGACAGCATGCATCCTGCGATAGATGTCATATAGGGGTTACAATATCGCAGGAGGGGTGTCCAAGTCATACTTAGGGTTGTTAATTAGAATCACATCAACATAATTACGTACAACATGACGATTTTTCAGGACAATTAGATAAGGAATTATACGAGAAAGAACACCGACACTTTACACACACGAAAAGAAGAAAAAACGATCGAAACCATTATCTTTTCATCAGGTGAACACATGCCACCACCCCCTTGGACGATGACACATTTCTTTGATCTGATCTTCCTATATAAGGTCCAGCGCGTCGTTTGACCAGCATCCTGAATTTGCACTCAGAGATTCTACTCGTGTTCAGAAAGCACAGTGAGCAAGATGGCGAACTACGCAGTCCCCGAGCCATACCGATGGGAGACCAGCTTCATGGTGTTCGTAAGTCGAAAATGCATACGTTTGTATAATAGCTGACGATGGTTTGCCCTAAGGTCATCATTTCTTCATAATATATTGAACGTTGGCACCGCGATGTAAAATGAAATTTTATATAGCTTTTATTGACAACCCTATTGTATTTGCTGGTTTTGCTTTCAGTACGAACGTCTGGACGATGAGCACAAGGGTCTCTTCCAGAGCCTCTTTGCTATTGGTACCAACCGCAACTCAAAGGCCGCTCTGAAGAAGTGCCTGGATCTGATGGTTTCCCACTTCAACTACGAGCAGGTAGGTCGAATGTGTCGGTACATTACTGTAGCTATTACACTTCAAGTGCTTATTAATGTTGAATGTTGAATGTTATGTGTGTATGTGTGTGTGTGTGTGTGTGTGTGTGTGTGTGTGTGTGTGTGTGTGTGTGTGTGTGTGTGGCCCGTGTGTGTGTGTGTGTGTGTGTGTGTGTGTGTGTGTGTGTGTGTGTGTGTGTGTGTGTGTGTGTGTATGTGTGTGTGTGTAAACCTGACTATTAATAGACCACTCTATGATTTTCTTGCTAGACCATCATGAGCAGGGCAAACTACGCCGGCTTCAAGGAGCACAAGGAACACCACGACGGATTCATTGCCCATCTTGGCAAGCTGTCCGCCCCGGTAACCGACGAGGAAATCTTCTTCTGCAAGAACTGGTACGTGTGATATCGAACACGCCAAGCAAAATTAATTCACAATATCTGCTCGTGCGAACGCAGTACGCGCACTAACCACCACTTAGTTTGCTTCTCGCTGTGTGCTCCTTCTCATCGTCCGTGGCTCATCTCCGATGGAGGCAAACAGCATAGCTAGAGAAAAAAATCACGCAATTACGAGTAAATACCGCTTTAATGCGGTTCAACTACACTCCCCTCTCTTCTCATTACAGGCTGGTGCAGCACATCAAGAACATTGACTTCGCGTACAGAGGCAAGCTGTAAGATGTGACGCCCAATGTTTTTCGATTCGCTGTCTCTTTCTCTGCACAGCTGACCATCGCTGCAATACGCAGAGCTTTCCGGACCATTTACTATATACGAACTTAGCTATTGTCACAGCTTTCTAACTGAAACACAATGTACTTTGCATGGGTAAGCAATTGTTATCGTGAAATGCCTACACATCACGCATGTAAGCGATTGCGTTCCCAGCTAATACATAGGCTACCGATAATTTTCTATTCAAAATTGCCAGTTGTTTCCAGTTTCAATTTCCTATTTCGAAAACGCCATGGCAATACGTTAGTATATACCGCTACTACCTAACCTTCCGTAAGTTCATCATGAGTTATATACATGTTGTTTTTACATATTATTCACAAATATATTCAAACATTGAATTTAGCGCTTCTTTGTTTAAATTCCAATTCAATAAAATCCATTTGTCTCTCACATATTAATGTTTTGTTTCACTTGTTTCACATTTAATGACTTCTCTAATGCAAGGATGAAATGAACATATGTTATTATGTAGAGAGAAAATCTAAAGATATACAAAAGCGTTAGTTACAGCTACATTATAAAAATAATCGACAACATTAGTGTACGCTGGTAAAGAGCAAAACTACCGCAAATAGATTGCAAAAACCCGCCACACGTGATAACAAAATTATAAACCCCAAATTGGCTCAACGCGGAAAAAAGAAAGAATATGGAATTATGGAAAGTTTCGGATTAGTTTATTAAGTTAAATATTTTATGCATTGTTCATGCATGTATATCACATATACACAACCACGTACACAAGCATGCATGCACTCGTACGCGTGAACACACGCACGCACGCACACATGCGCGAACATACATACACACTATATATAATATAATCAGGAGTTAATAATAGAGATTTCTCTATTATTCACTCCTGATATTATCTATGCAAGTTTTGCCTCTTCATTTTAATTTATAAACGAAAAACAATTTTTCAATTAACATTGGTCATTAGTAATAATTTAATATTCAGCAGGTTTCCTACTAACAGTCCTAATTACGTTTTGTTCTCATTCATTTATTTCTGGTCAAATGTTACTAAACCGCTCCTTCGGTCAGAATAGGAATATTCCTTCATGAGTCGGACGACTGGCAATGGTGATCGTTCTAATCCGATCGTGTCTTTGGCATGAGGGGCTAGATATTGACGGACGTGTGGAACTGTGACTCAAAACTCTCCCAAGTTTACAGCAGTGTAGTAGCTGTTAAAAACTGCAAACTAAATTCTCGACAGCGTTAAATAAACACAGAGTTAGATTGTATATACAGTGTGGACTGAATCTGCCATATTTAAAAGTTCTCATAGAAGTGCATAAAGTTCGGAAGTTGGCGGGTCGTGTTCACTTCTGCGCATGCGCTGCCGATGGAGTTTGTGAGAGCAGGTGGTCCGCAGCTAAAAACGCCCACTCTATTTACCTGAGTGACAAATTGAAATACACACATTATATATATATACACACACACGCACTTACGCACGCATGCAAGCACCCCCACACACATGTATATATATATATACATATATAAATATAGAACAATAGAATAATATATGGGCTGTCAAATTTTAATTAACATGCTTTTGAGAGCATGTCTCTTCATCAGGCTATACAAGGTTATTTCATTTTATTGTTTCTCTTATAGCCTGATAAAGAGTCATACTCTCGAAATCATTCTAATTAAAATTTGACACCTCATTATATTTTTCTATTGTTCTATATATATATATATATATATATATATATGTATTATGATCAAGAGAGCATCATTTATTTATGTGCTTGTAACAGTCTGACACACATTTGAACGTATATAATTATGATGCTATTGATATGATATACTGTTACTGTTCACACTCTCAAATATATAGTTAATATTTCACACCTCGTGTAATCATACTACTCGTTCGAACTTCGCTCTCGGATATGTTATTATGATGAATTTGAGACTTACACGTGGATGTTTGGCTCGCACAAACTTGAAGATTTCGGCGAACTGTGGCCGACCGAAGTGATTTTTAGCCTTCAAGCCGGTGAATATACTCCGCTTGAAGAACGATTGGAAATGCTTTTCACATATGTACTAGAAACGAAAAAAATAGAACGTGATTAATAGTACTTCTGCAGTCTTACAAGTGACATTTTATATATTTTAACTATAGTAAAGAAGTGGGATTAACATGGAAATTGTGCGGTAACAAAAGGGGAGAAGAGCGCAATTCTCTTGTTTGGCTTAGGATTGCTATTACATTACCGATGCAAATATAGCGAATTTATATAAAAAATTAATTTTATGAAGCCGAGATTTTACAGCAATGTAACAATAAGCTCGAGTGGAAATCTTTTATTCGTCCTTTACAAAATTGAATTATTTCAAGTGAAATGTGAAGTGAAAACACACGATGATGGACATGCATCGCGATCTTACATACCAGCAGCATGGTTCTAAGATCGAAGTTGTCGAAGTATTGCGTGATGAAGATGTGAACGTCTATGACGTCCATGATATCCCGTTCCTCAACGCTACGCAACACGTCCACAAACCATTCCCAGCTGCGATGGGTGGGGCATATCCAGAGGAAGTACACCTATGCGTATGTACACGGACGTTGATATGTACATGTACGTATAACGTGAGTACACACTATATCACCCTGTTGAACATATTCTCGATTTGTGCCGCTAGATGGCGCTCGTGTTATGATTTAGCGCAGAAAGCGAGATGCGCTCGAAAATGAAATCGAGCGTGTATTAACGAACACCTCTGTAAAACAGACAACTGTGTAAAGGTCTGTTTTGGCATTACCGTTGGGTGGCATTTATACAGTGAAACCACCTCTATAGAACGAACACCTGTCTATAAAGGACACTATTGGCGTTTCCTTCTAGTATACGCGATTACACGTTGAATGTCACCTTTCTACATGTGACGCCCCTGTAGCGATTCGTAGATGTTCCGTAGACAAGATCCGACAGTATAGATGCGTACGGGGTGACACCGATCCCGCCTCCTATCATGACGGCCACCTCGTACTTGTACCATTCCTGATTACCGCCCCCGTATGGACCATCAACTTGAACCTATAGTGAACAAAAATATACATTCCGTCATAAGCAAAGCGTGTCACAGCTCGAAACAGACATCGGAATATTCGATATAATTAGTATAACTACTTTGTCTGAATAGATTCATGTTTACCCGCATAATTACTAACTATAATCGTTATAGCACTGCACATTTACATTGCACACGCCTTTATGTTAAAATGCGTCTAAAAAACTTTAGTGAAAAAGTGGCAGAAATCGCTTTGACTTCAAAATTTCACATTGCACGTTTCTGTCAATAATTCACAAATGAAAACTCCCAGAGTAACATATTACCCATCAAAAACTTCACAAGGACCCACTGCATTGGAATATATCATTACTTTGTAATATGGTGGTTGTTTGTGGCACATATCTTGGCAAAGTTCAACCATACCCCCTAATTTTGATATTTGGGAACAAAACTTAGATTTTGAACATTTTAGGTTTTAGGTTTAATTTTTGGTATTAGCTAGTATCCCATGGTAGGCATGTAATATCAGGTACATTATATTTCATCCAATTTATTTTTATTATTATTTTTTATTTTTATTAATTAATTTTACTAGTATTGGATTGCAAAACTGTAAAGGTGACTTTTCTGACCTTCGTAATTAGAAAAATATTGGATTAAAAGTGCAGATAAACATTGGTGTGAAGTTATCCGAGGATTTCTCTCGGGTATTCGGGGATATCTCATACCTAGTATGCGAGAAAAGAACATCTATAGGTTAATAATATCAGCGAAGACATATTACATAGTAGAATGGAACGAGCTCATCTACTATGTAATTATATATTCGCTGATAATATTATTATTTTCACAAGGAAAAACATCGCGTGATAATAGCATCGTTGCGCTAATCTGTGTCTACTTATCTGTGCCGATGGAAACCATGTAATTTGCAGGTGTTATAATTCGTACTCACGCTAGGTATATTATGTATAATAATTACATTTGCGCTAAATTTAATGATGATAGCGAGTTGTTGTTATGTGTGTGTGTGTGTGTGTGTGCGTGCGTGTGCTGTGTGTGTGCGCGTGCGTGGTCGTTCGTGCGTGGGGCGTGCAGTGCGTGCCGTGCGTGGTGCGTGCGCTGCGTGCGTGTTTTTTGTTGCTTGTCTGTCTGTCTGTCTGTCTGTCTGTCTGTTCTGCTCTGTTGTCTGTCTGTCCCTGTCTGTCTCGCTCTGTCTGTCTGTCTGCTCTGCCTGTCTGTCTGTCTGCCTGCGTGTGGTCGTGCGTTAGTGCGCGTTCGTTCGTGCATGCGCGCGTGCGTGCGTTAGACCTATTACCCACATTTAGCGGCATTTAGGTGCACGGCTTGCTCGTCGTTACAGATGTGACGAAGGTGGTCTTTAATCGACCTCCCAGCTTCCTGTATCGATCCGGTCAGTGGGTGCGCGTCTGCTGCCCGGCCGTATGTCCGGACGAGTACCACTCTCTGACACTCCCTCCGACCGTCGGCCGCCGCTGAGAAATATCTCCTCCATCAGCGTGAAGCGTACGGACGATGGACGTGGAGGCTGCGGAACATTCTGGACCCGGCGAATCTCATGGGAATGACCTATCCAACGGTATAGTGCAGCACGTGATGCGACGCAATTATATATTATTAAATATTTATATTAGTTTATATACACAAACAGAGAGAGAAGGGGGGGAGACAGGGAGACAGAGACAGACAAACACAGACACACGCACACACACACACACGCACACGCATATATATATATATATATATATATATATATATACAAAAGAATATTAACAAAAATAATACTATAGGAATGAAAAACAAATGTTTTGTTTTTAAGCAAATAGCAGAAAAAATCCTTATATTATTTATCATATATGATGATAATATATAGTTTGATGATTACTTGTATCCGCGACGACAACTTTATTATACAGCCGACCGGTTTAATTTATTAAATAAATAAATATATATATATATAATAACATACATATAACACGAAATATTCATATATATATATAATATAATTTTATTTCATTTTCTTTATATATTGTATTTCTGTATTTCTATATTATAGCTAGCTGCACCCGGAACCTAACGATAAAGGACCGTGTGCAATGTAAATGTGCAGTGCTATACACGATTATAGTTAGTAATTATGCGGGTAACATGGAATCTATTCAGAAACAAAGTAGTTTTTACTATTATATCGAATATTCTCGAATGTCTTGTATCGTCGTAGCTGTGACACGCTTTGCTGATAATGACGGATGGTATATTTTTGTTCATCTATACGGTTCAAGTTGATGGTCCATAACCGGGGCGGGCGTAATCGGGGCGAAAATTTTGGTAGCAAGTACGAGGTTGGCCGTCATGATAGAGAAGCGCGGATCGCGCGTGTCACCCCGTACGCATCTATTTACTGTCGATTTTGCTACGAACATCTACGAATCGCTACAGCGGGCCGTCACTGTAGAAAGGTGACAATTTCAACGTGTTAATCGCGTATACTAGAAGGAAACGCCAATAGTGTCTTTATAGACAGGTGTTTCGTTCTATAGAAGCGTGGTTTCACGTGTTATATGCCACGCCACGTAATGCCAAAACAGACTTTACAAGTTGTCCTGTCTTTTACAGAGGTGTTCCGTTTAATACACGCTCGATTTTCATTTCGAGCGCATCTCGCTTTCTGCGCTAAATCATAACATACGAGCGCCATCTAGCGCACAATCGAGAATATAGTTCAACAGGGTGATATAGTGATGTACATCACGTTATACGTACATGTACATATCAACCGTTCGTGTACATACGCATAGGTGCTACTTCCTCTGGATATTGCCCCACCCACGCAGGCTGGGAATGGATACTTTTGTGGACGTTGTTGCGCTAAGCGTTGGAAGGAACGGGATATCAGTGGACGCGTCATAGACGTTCAAATCTTCATCCGCAATACTTCGACAACCTCGATCTTAGAACATGCTGCTTGGTATGTAAGATCGCGATGCATGTCGCATCATCGTGTGTTTTCACTTCACATTTCAACCTTGAAATAATTCAATTTTTGTAAGGACGAATAAAGAGATTTCCACCTCGAGCTTATTGTTACATTGGCTGTAAAATCTGGCTCATCAATCAAAATTAATTTTTATATAAATCGCTATATTTCATCGTACAGTAATCAGCAAATCCTAAGGCCAAAACAAGAGAATTGCGCTCTCTCCCCTTTTGTTACCAGCACAACTTTTCCCATGTTAAAACACTTCTTACTATAGTTAAAATATTTTTTAAAATGTCCACTTGTAAGCACTTGCAAAAGTAGCTATCTAATCACGGCCCTTCTAAGTTTTTGTTTTTAGTACATATGTGAAAAGCATTTCAATCGTTCTTCAAGGCGGAGTATATTCACACGGCTGAAGCTAAAAATCCATGCTACTTCGGCCTCGGCCACAGTTCGCCGAAATGCCTTCAAGTTGTGGCGAGCGCAAAACCATCCACCGTGTAAGTCTCACCTCCATTCAAATCATGAATAACATATCCGAGAGCGAAGTCGAACGAGTGGTATGAATTAACACGAGGTGTGAAATATTAACTATATATTTGAGACGTGTGAAGCCAGTATACAGTATATCATATCAATAGCAATCATAATAATACGTTCAAATGTGTGTCAGAACTGTTACAAAAACACATCAAATAAATGATCTCCTTGATGCATAATACACACACATCATATATTACTATATATATATATATATATATATATATATATATATCCTAGAACAATAGAAAATATAAATGAGGTGTCGAAAATTTTTAATACTAGCTATGCCGCTTTTTCGAGAGTATGATCTTTTGTATCAGGCTATAAGAGAAACAATAAAATGGAAATAACCTTGTATAGCCGATGAAGAGCAATGTTCTCAAAAAAGGCATGTTAATTAAAGATTTGAGCAGCCCATATATTTCTATGTTACTAATTATTTATATATGTATAGTATATATAATACATGTGTGTGGGGGTCTTGCATGCAGTGCGTAAGTGCGTGTGTGTGTATATTATATAATGGTGTGTATTTCATTTGTTCACTCAGGTAATAAGATGTGGGCGTTTTAGCTGGCGGACCACCTGCTGCTCACAAACTCCATCCGCCGCGCATGCGCAGAAGTGAACACGACGCCGCCAACTTCGAAATTTATGCACTGCTATGAGAACTTTAAAATACATATGGCACGATTCAGTTTCACAACTGTATATAACAATCCAACCCTGTGTTTATTTTAACGACTCGTCGAGAAATTTAGTTTGCAGTTTTAAACAGGCTACTACATGCTGAGTATAACATTGGGAGAGTTTGAGTCACAGTTCCCACACGTCTCGTCAATATCTAGCCACTCATCGCAAAGACTAACGATCGGAATTAGGAAAACGATCCCACCGATTGCCAGTCGTCCGACTCGATGAAAGGAATATTCCCTATTCTGACACGAAGGAGCCGTTTAGTAAGATTTGACCAGAAAGAAATGAAATGAGAAACAAAACGTCAATTAGCGACTTTGTTAGTAGAAAACTCTGCTGAATATAAATTATTACTAATGACCAATGTTAATTGAAAAATTGTTTTTTCGTTTATAAATTAAATGAAGAAGGCAAAAACCTGCCTAAGATAATATCAGGAGTGAATAATACGAAGAAATCTACTATTATTCAGCTCCTGATTATATTATATATAGTGTGTATGTCAATAGTTTGCGCATCGGTGTGCGTGGCGTGCGTGTGTTCACCCGCGTACGAGTGCAGCATGCTTGTGTAGTCGTGGTTGTGTATATGTGATATACATGGCATGAACGATGCAGTAAAAATATTTAACCTAATAAACTAAATGCCGAAAACTTTCCATAATTCCAAAATAATTCTTACTTTTTCCGCGTTTGAGCCCACATTTGCGGTATTATAATTTTGTTTATCCCACGCTGTGCGGTTTTTGCAATCTATTTCGGCTAATGTTTTGCCTCTATTACCAAGCGGTAACACATAATGT